TAGTCCAGGTCCGAGATCATCAAGTCCCAAGAAGAATCAGACAGGGAAGAACGAAGGGACGAGCAAACAGAGCAGAAATTCCACGAGCTCCTGGGATTACAGTGACAGTGACAGTTTGAATTCATTCGAGACTGGAAATACTGGTGATTCCCTCAGGGGACCCAGCGGCTTGATCAGGAGAATTGATCTTGTTCTTCATGATATAGACTGTACCAAGGGCTACACCTCTGATGTTGCCAGGAACTCCTTGAGGAAGAGCAACTCGGAGAAGAGATACTTGAAGCACGAAACGTGGGCGGAGAGCCTTCGCAGTGGAGTCATTGATGATAGGTACAGGAAGTTGGAGGATGGATGGGATGATAACAATATTATTAGGCATCCCAGGGAGAGGAAGTGGAGGCTAATCGATGATGGTTCTCTTCAACAAAATTATCGAAATTGTAGCATTGATTGTCGTAATTGGAAATGTCATTCCAGAAAGACGCAGCATGGGAAGGTAGGGAACAGGAGGTCGATCGATGGTAGTGTCTCCAGGAATTTTGGAGATGTTGTTGAGTGGGAGAAACTTTTGGAGGTTGCACTCTCCAAGAAACTTGGAAAAGTTGACAGGAAAACGGGGGGACATGCTATTTTGAAGGATCTTAATGTACTTCTTGAGGGGAGAACTCCTGGGTGCGAGGTAAATTCTCAACATTTTTTTTACTCTCCAGGGCATATTGGGGTAATCTATTTTGGATCATAATAATAATGATAATCCAGAACAATAATAATTTGAATTGTGGTTGGTTTGATCTCATATATGCAAATTGGAGATAATTTTTTCATTTCGAAAAGTGGGAGTTTTAGATTTCCTGGAATTTTTTAGGAACTCGTGAATATTCAGGAATGATCAGTTTTCAGTGTTTTTTAGATGAAACTTGGAATTTCCAATTACAAAATCTTTTGACATTTCAATTATGAGTGTCATACGATAACTCCTAGAGTGACATTGATCTGGATTTCAAAAAAAAAAAAAACTCAAATAAAATATGGAATTCCGAATTTTTAAAAATTTTTTTAAACCGATTAGCAAAAATGTTAAATTCTGCTTTAGCATACGCTACTTACCTGACCTTTTCCAATATTCTAATCATCCCGATTTCTTTGCTAATTAACAATAAATAATATTAATAAATCAAGATAATTAACGAGCCGATTAATCAAACTACAACCAATCATGAATTGATTGAATAATTATTATTTAAAAACAACAAACGTGAGACAATATGAATATTTGGGAGAAGGGATGGGATGAAAAAGGTTTCGATGATTCCATCGAAGAATCTTATTCTGAATAATTCATCAATATTTATAATCAATGACAGCCATCGCTTAACCCAAAAACATAAATAACAAGCATCACAGTAGCGCGTATCGAAAATTTATTTTTTCCCTGGATAATTTTTTTGCACAATAATAAAACGCGTGGTTGGGCAATTGCGATTAAGTAGACGCACACCAGGTTTTCTAATGTCCGTAAGTGGAATTAATTCTGGGTTAAGTGGGCAAAGTGTTATTGAAGAGAGAAATTGATGGATCAAACGCACCGTAATCCGCGTATTCCGCGATTTGAGGCTGATTGATAGGTATAAAAAAGGAGTAATAAAATAAATATATTTTTTTAAACGATATCAGATAAGTCGAGAAACTGGGTAGGTGCAGAACTATCTTAGGTGATGGATGAATAGCCGCGATAAAATAACCAAGGATTTTTTTTTTCTAATGCCATTCGAGATACAGTGGAAAACGTCGACGGGTTATGAAATTATTTAATGACGCCTCTCGCCATTCTCCTGCCACTATGTAACACTCCCTTTGGCCTCGTTCCTCTCATCTCTTAAACGTTCATCAATGTTTTATTAACGAGAGGTGATTCGCCTTCCAACTATTCATTATTCCTCAATTCCGTTATCTCTGTGAAAGCAGTCGAAACTTGCTCTTCACAGAGAGGCCATTTTTACAGGAATTCAATTACGCCCACGTGCTCAGTTTTTTTTCGGTGTATGATAAATAAACTCGGAAATTTTTCGCACTCCAAAGGGCCGCGTGGGATGGACCCGGAATAATCTGTGATTGACAACACAGAGACAAAATCACTCAAAAAATTCCAAGACTCGAGGATCTATTTTCTAGATTCTAGAACACTCCTCGAAAAATATATTATACAATAGAGATGATTTCCTGAATTTATATTAAATACTCAATATATCAAATAGCCATTTCATAAAATTATTAGAATTTCGGTGTCTCTAAAGCAGAAGAAGAGAAAATAATAGAAAATTTAACATAATAATTGATTGTCTGATGACCCAGGAATTATTTATTATAAATTAAAATCAAAAAAGGAGTTCATATAAATTTCCCATATCGGATGAATTTAATAATTTCTACTGTCTCCTTTTACTCTTCCTTTTTTTGCGTTGAAAGTTCGCGGATAAAAATGAGAAGAAAAAAATCACCTGTTGGCAATTATGAATGTTTTGCTGCACCGAGGAGTGACCGAAAGTGTTCTCACACAAAAAAAATGTTTGAAAGAGTGAACCGATGGCCTAGACTTGGTGCAATCCAAATATGGAAGTTCAAGGCCCTTAGGAACGACCTGGCGACTCAAATGATGAAGAAAGAGGGCGAAATATTTTCTTACGTCATAACACCTCGTTCTACAATTGGAGTTTCTTAATTCCCGTCATAAAGGGAAGAGGTAGCGTTGATATTCGATATACATAATCGGAATATCGCGAAAATCCGATGAAAAAAGATTTATCTTTTCAAGGGAGTTGTTTCATTCGCCGCCAACCCGATTTTTCATTCACTCCTTTTACGTGCACATCTTAATTCCGTAATCAACGTGTCCATGACAAATGCCCAGATCCCATGAATCATTTAATCTCAGTTACAACAGGACGACTTTTTTATGACTGTATTGGATATTTATTTGAATAGCGTTGACAGCTGTCATTTCCACGGATCCACCAATTACCTATTTTTATTGATGAGTGATAAAATTGTAGTTGAAGGCAATACATCAATCGCTGTTGAGCCAAGACATATTTATTAATTCAGAGTAATGATAACTCGATTAACTGACAGTTCGTGATAATCATCTTCTCGGTAATAATCTTAATAATATTTAATAATCGCATCATTTCTATCTCTTCTTGGATTATATTCATGAATTAGAACTTTTCTTGTAGTAGAGTTGTGACTTCCATTTGTGATCGCCAGTATTTTAAATTAGAATTTCATGAGACGTGAATCGTTGGAGCCTAGATGAGGAATCAACTGGATCCAAGAATGATGAACCCTATACGTTCGTGAATGTAAACAACTTATAATTATAGACAGTGAAGCACATGAAAATCTCAATTGGCATGTGTAATGTCTATTTCTGCTCTGCAGAACTCCTCCATCAGCTATGATCGAGGACAATCCTCATCATTGGATTAACAATTGCTTATCCCTGCAGGACAATCAAGTCATTCCTTCATGAATATTAACAACTTTCCACCGAGAATTCCAAAGGAGCTCTCTCATCCCAGATAATTCCCTCTTCGTCACCTCTTCGTCACCTCTTCGTCATCTAGATCAAGAATCTTTCCCATTAATTTTTCTCAATGACTACCTGATGAAAAATCCCAATTCGAGTAATAAAATGATTTTTCCAGAAATGATAATTCCCTAGAAACATCCGATCTTCCCCCATTGAACATTTTTTATTTATTTAAAATTGGAATCCAATGAACTTGAGGTGGAGTTCATCCCCTGAATCTGGATCCTCAACTTTCCTGAGGAATCGTCTGATGAAATCGCAGAACTGATGAATAATTCTCTGGTCAATCAACTCCTAAAATGACAATCGAGCAAAACGATCGATCACCAGTCTCCGATATATTTCCACGTTCTTCCATCACCAGGAGTCAATGCTCGGTAGCCGTTATCTTTGGTGAAAGCCCCACACTCGTGGATTCCCAGTGTGTTAGGTGATCGAACGGAATCGAAGTGAATTAATGCGCATTGCGCGTACCACAAACAACCCACATATACTTCGTGGGTCTTGTTCAAGTACATGATTTTCTCTCAAAGTGTACATACCTGTATTTGTACATACAGATCCAACAACTTGGTAACACGTCTTTAAGGCCGGATCAACTGGACATATAACACGTGCGTTACGCCAGTCGAGCGAGAGCAACGTTACACTAGTCGTCAGTGTAACAATGTTTCTCACTAGTTTGACAATTCTCTTATTCGTTATTTTATATATCGTCCAAAAAATACTCCAAACGTGCGCAAATTCAAGAGAAATATCTGAAGTAGTCCCAAAGGGAGTGGTACATTCACTATTTTTCCCAAATATCCATTAGGAAATACGAAATAAATCCATCGTCTTTCAATTTCGTTTTTTTCTTTTAATTTTGGAAAAATATTCTCTTTCCCAGGAATTTCATCGAAATATCGAGGGAATACTAGTACTATCAAATCACGTGGAGATATTCTTTCAGTAGCGATCCAGTGAATCGATTCAATTCAATTTTACTATTGACCAATTTACTGCGAAAATCTTACAATCTAAGAAAATATTGCGAGATTCTAAAATTTTTGTTATAAACTTTGTTGTAGAGCTGATTGAGAGTCACCAAAAAAGTTTCTACAAAAATTTCGCTACCTCTCCTAGCTTTGGAGATATTATGGAAAAATGTATCGAATAGCCAAATCGCCTTGACTCCTTTCAAAGAAATAAATTTTCGTATATAAATATTTTTTAATATCAAAAAAATTATTACTATAATTTATAAATATTTCTCTGAAGTGAATGTACATTGCAAAGATACAAATAAAAATATTTTTTCATCTCAATTTAATTGCTGTAAAAAAGACTAGAAAGAGAGGAGCAACCGATTGTGCGATTTTTTTTTGTTGCTGATTAACGACGAATTGTTAATGAAGGTGTTTGTTTGCAGGCCCGCACTGAGGAGCACTTGGCTCAGGAACAGGCGTGGTTGGCGTCAGAACGTGTCTGGCTACTTCACAGAGGTGGATTTACAGCGGGCAGAAGATGCGGTGCAGGCGATCCCGACACTGGAAAACTCCGGGTGCGGTTGATACCCGGTGGCGAGGAGCTCCTCGTCGACGAGGAAGACGTCGAGAAGGCAAATCCACCCCAATTCGATAAGGCCGAGGAACTCTCGCAGCTGAGATTTCTCAACGAATCATCTGTTCTGCACACACTTCGACAGAGATATGCGAGCAACCTCATCCACACCTACGCTGGCGACAGTATGATTGTCATTAATCCGGTCGCACCATTGGCAATCTACTCCGAGAAGGTATTAATTAATTGTCCCCATCTTTTTTTCAGGGACGGAGGGAATTAATTGTTGGAATAAAAAATGTTGGAATAAAAATCGTTAAAGAATTGTGAATGGAAAACGAAAAAAATTTCAGGTGGTGCACATGTTCAAGGGCTGCAAAAGCGAGGACATGCCACCTCACATATATGCAATGGCCCAATCAGCCTACAGGGGAATGCTGGCGACGCGACGTGATCATTCCCTAGTATTTTTAGGTCGCAGTGGCTCGGGCAAGACCACAAACTTCAAGCACGCCCTGCACTACCTCGTGCTGGCAGCTGGTACAGTAAACAAGGTATAATTTGCCAACTCTTCAGTCAATCATTTTATACTCCATCCCATAAATTCATGAATTACTTAATTTCAGATTCTCACGATCGAGAAATTAAACGCTTTATTCACGGTTCTGGAAGCCTTTGGTAATAGCAGAACCCATATGAACTCGAACGCAACGAGATTCACCCAGATTTTCAGTCTGGACTTCGATCAGTCAGGTCAAATAGCCTCAGCGTCTCTTCAGGTTCTGCTTCTCGAGAAATCGAGGATCGGTAGGAGACCAAATGGAGATCCCACATTCCACGCAGTTTATCGGCTGCTGGCTGGTGCTGAGGGGGCCCTCCGCAAGGAATTAAATCTGACGAATCTAGTGGCTGAAAATAATCCCTTCATAACTCCACTGCAGAAACACGAGGACAAACAGAGGGCCATGGTGGAATTCAATCGTATAATTGCGGCATTTAAAATTCTTGGGGTATCGGAAGCAGACGAGAAGGTTGTGTGGTTGGTTCTAGCTGGGATCTATCATCTCAGTTGTGCTGGTGCTGTCAAGGCTGGCAGTGGATCACAGACAAGATGGCAGTTTGCCAGAGTTGATTGTGCTGAGAGGGCAGCCAATCTCCTGGGGACAACAGTCGAGGAACTCAGCAGAATCGTATTCTCCTCGAGTACTGGTGGTGGTGGCAGTGGTGGAGGGACACCCAACGGAGGAAGGCCCACCCTGAGAACTCCCAGTCCCACAGACAGTGGAAAAGACACGTCTGGACTGGATTCACTCGAAGGACTCCTCATTGGATTGTACTCAGAAATTTTCCACTGCATTGCTGCACTCATTAACAAATCTATATCATCATCATCAGTCCACACTGTCTCATCGATGCTCCTCTGTGATGCTCCTGGCTTTCAGAATCCTGCCTCCTGTGGACGTCAGACTGGTGCTAATTTTGAGGATCTTTGTGACAATTATCTGCAGGAACGTCTGCAGGCCCTCTTTCATTACACTGCACTTGTGGCACCCAAGGATCGCTATGCCCAGGAGGGAATTGATGTCAATTACGAGGAGGATTATGATGAGAACTGCATTGGATCGCCAAGGGCTCTGGTTTCTCTTCTTGATAGGGGACAACAGAGTGCTATGCTCAGAACCAGTCAGAGTGATCTCAGGCAGACTGAGAGAAAGGGACTACTCTGGCTCCTCGATGAAGAGGCTATGTGCTCTGGGGGCAGCGATGAATCCTTCATGGATCGACTTTTTTCACTCTATGGAGACAGGGATCATCAGCTACTGCTCAGGAAAGCTCCTGGAAATAATGAGTTTGTCCTGCAGCATCTCCAGGGGACCAATCCAGTTTTATATACTGCCACTGGGTGGATCAGGGCCACCAGGGAGAATACTGTCACCAGGAGTGCCATCACTGTTCTCCAGGAAAGCACCAGGTGAGAATTTATTGTTTTTTTCCTCGGAGTTGTTAGTAGGGATTGGAATTATTTACTTTTTTGAGGGTCAATGGATAACTTAAGGCGTTTTCGGTGTTTCAGGGAAGATGTCAGCAGATTGTTTGTCCAGGCCCGTGGTGCTGGAGTTTGTGGGGCACTCAGTGGATCAGTGCCTGGGCTTGAGGGCTCCCAATCGCTCAGGAGAGCCTCCAGTATTAGAAGAACATTTACTGCTGTCAAAAGGAAGAATGCCTGTTTGCAAGTCAAGTTTACAGTGGTGAGTTTTTTTTTTATTAGGAGAGGAAACGAATCTCTTGAATAAGATATTGAGTCTTATTTCATTCTTCTGTACAGTTATTTACCGGTTCTTAAAAAATCACAAACACACATTCAATTCATAACATTTGCAGTGGCTTCTTTTTTTTTTCTCTACTACATTTATTAATATAATAATAAATAACTAGGCCTCAGACTCGCGCAGTTGCGCACGTTCATGGAGAATTAACGGTTTAGCACTGAAAATCAATCATAACATAATTTAATTGAAGAGGTATCTTATGTAATTAAACCTGACAAAATACAAAAAAAAAACGGGGTTACTCTCCACATCTTCTGTGATCCTGTTACAAAACTCTCATTTGATTGAAGCCAAATCGATCATTGGGCAAGAATCGAGCATTGAATGAAAATTGACTGATCGAAATTGAAGCAAATTAATAACCCATTGCTCTTTCAATACAAGTGGATAAATAACGATGGGAGTCCTGTAATTTAATAAGAAAAAAATACCTTCATTTACTTTATGATGTATTTTTTAAAAATATTCTTCACTGTAAAAGCAAAATGATGAATTGAAAATGATTTATTTTCCTTTTACTTCGTGTTCGTTTGTATTCCCTTAAAAGTACTAATTGAAAAATTCCTCTGGACTTTGCAGGATGGTCTCATCGAAACTCTCAGAAGGACTCGCGTGAAATTCGTTCATTGTCTGCTTCCTCAGCACAATGCGGGCTGCACCGACAATAAGAGCCTTCTGACAGTGAAATCGAATCAGAGTGAGGACAGTATAATGAACGTACCTCTCCTCCGTTCTCAGGTAAGACCTTGGCAATTTTTTTTCCAGTACGTGAGTGATTGAGTGCTCTGATACCCATTTTATACCCCTTTTTGTCATCAGATTCGGGGTAGTCAGATTATAGACGCTGTACGGCTTCATAAAGTTGGATATCCCAAGCACATACCTCTCAGTGAATTCAGGCGACGATTTGGATTGCTCTCTAATGATGCAAATGCACGCCCTGGAAGTCCTGTTGCCGATGAACGCAGAGCTGTTGAGGATATGCTCCTGTCCGTTGACGTTGATCCAGCATCATATCGCGTTGGGCAGAGTCAGGTGAGTGCTATTTTTTTCTCATCCAAGTTTTCAAATCAAGTGAACGAGGAGTTTAAAGAAAAGTCCCAATTTATCTCGGAGCCTATAGATTTTACGGGGAAATATCAGACGACTTTTCTTGTTGAAAATTTTATCAGTGTCCAACTTTTTCATTTCCTGAGATAATTCCAATCAATCGAATAATGCGATTTTTCAAAATCATTCAAATTGAATTCGCCATTTATTATTCGACGTTTTCAATATCACACCTCTAAAACGGCAATCTAAATTATTTCTTATGCAACCGAAAAGGCAAAAAAGAAATAATAATTCGTGAGATGACAATAAAATCGTGATTACATTTCCACCTGGAAAATGGATAATTACGCCTTGATATAAGGCCATTTATCACTCGAAAGCGATTCGATTTTTCCATTGAAAAATATTTTAGTGACCGAAAATTCAGTCTCAGAAGATATTCATGAATACCCCCTGATGGGTTTCCCTCATCAATCACCTCCATGAATGAATTTTGATTTCTGAGTACCAGGATGGTCTGGTCAAGTGGAAAAAAAAAATGGTATAAAAAGGTAAATAAATATTAAACGTCCCATCCCGAACTTTCACGTGGCCCACATGTGCGTCTACTGTTGCTGTACACGTTCGCCAAACCGTTCCTCGGCCTCGTTTGCTCCCGATCAAATTGATGAAATTTATCAAAGAGACATCAAAGGAGTGGAATGTCACTGGTTGATTTCGAGGTGCATTCTTGCCCTTCCAGCCGAGAGAAACGACCGATTCATGTTATATCATCATATATCACGGGCGGTCATGACCAATCAACCGTGCAATGTTGATTGATTAAATCGCAGACCGCGAATATGACATACTGGTGAATAATAATAATAATCTCACCAGTCGCATTTTTGCAACAATCGAAATGGCTGTTGATTATCTTCACAGATTTTTAATCAACCGCTAAAGTAGAAACTAAATGCTGGGGCTCGTAATGAATGAGTTAATGAATATTAAATATTATTATATAAAGCGTGACGAGGCCTTTTCGGTGATAATAATTTAGTTTTTGATTATGATCTTCGGATATAGGAGAGGTGGCGAAATTTTTATGAAATTCTTTTTTCTCGTTCTCATTACATTCCACAAAAAACTCGGTACAAAAATTTCGATATTTCTCTTCAGTTCGGAGATATCAGAAGTGGAAATTTTTGATAACGACAAAGTAACATGAAATTTATTGAATATTCGGATTTTTCATTTTGAAATTTATATTGCACGGGAAAAAAATGAAAACATTTTCTCATTAATTAATGAAAAAAAGTTATTCATAATTCTCGTGTTATTCATTCACAAAAATTCTACGCATATTTTATTATCGTAGGGATTTGAAAAGAATATTCAGAAAATTTTTGATCAACCTGAAAATTAAAGTTGTCATTGAAAAATCAATTTGTCCCGAATTTTCGAACTTCCCGAAGGGAAGTGATAAATTTCGGGAGTACTTTTAATTGGAATTGAATTCATCCTCGCATAATGAAAAATTGAAATGAATCGGTAACTGAAATTTCGAGAAAACTCCTGATTATTTTGAGCCCTCGACTTCTGACTGAAGAATTTTTTAGTTTTCACATCCAAAGTACATGTTTTTACACGCACTGTTTTCCATCAAGTCTGGAATTTTCTCGGACGACACCTGTGGTAACTTCACGCCTGAGACCCGAACGAATCGACTTGGATTCGCTCAATATCCAAGCTGTCGGCAATTTAATTTATCATTTCGCCGAGTCATAGAGGGAGCGATGAATTTATCACCTGTACATCCGTATCGATGAAATTGAACTGAAAGAAGTACGACGACCTGTGTGTACGGTATCGGCCAGGAGGAGAAAGGTGCATCCGACAGGCGGAAATACCAATGGCCAAGTCCAGCACACTGTCTTGACCTCTATTTCGAACTTTGTGAAATCCAGAGACAACCACGGGTTTTATTCACCATGGTGAATTCGCCCCTTGGCACTGCATCCTCGATTTCCCGGTTAACTTGTACTGCATACTCAATGATACTTTTTCTTTCGTTCCTCCTGTATCGGTTTACTTGGTAGAATTTGCGAAATTGGATCTCTGCGTTGTCAGTTGTATCGGAGAGGATGGAATTGTAAGTCTCATGGCTTTCAGACTAAACCCTCGATACCTTGTTAAGAAATTTCTCGTTTCAACAAACCTGTTGATTTTTTATTCATTCAAATGAGTCGCCGAGAGGTATTCATCATAACATGTATTCTTCTTCACCGCATCCTTGCTAAATTACTATTGGCATTTTATTCCAAATTCTGTTGAATTCTCCAACATTTTTTTCACTTCCTCCTCAAAAAATCAGTTAAGGTCTTCAATTCTCTCGTCATTCTCCATTTTCAATGACATCTGGCACTGAATTTTCTGTCTATTAGAAATTTATTCAATCTTTCAATTCAGTGAAATTTTAATTGCATTAAACAATCCGTTATAATCCATTATTATTCATGAATGAAAGATTTTTTGATTATATTTAATTAAAACTTAATCAAAACTCGTATAATTGAAAATTCGAATGACTAACTGAAAATTCAAGAAATTTTCAACCGTGTAATCGCATTATCGAGGAATATCTTTTGATGTACGAGAGATTGCTATTTTTTCTGGGAACCTTTTTCACAGAAAAAAATAAGAGCTACCAAAAGGGTCTTGTCGAAAATTTCCATATTTCTGGAAGATTCAGAAATATCAGACGAAATTCATGCTAGAAAAATCCGGAATTTCGCACCAACACTCTTGGGTCTTTGAATCACAGATTCCATTATTTTCTCTAAAACAAACACTCGATTCGGAATTATCTTGTCCTCCACCTTCATCAACGCAAGGCGGAGGAATGATTCTGAAGAAAGCATTCCTTTCCCTGTTACGCAACCATTCCTCTATTCTATTATTGTCAATTTATGAGCATGAGCTTGTCATTCTGTAATATGTGACGATGAAACTGTTGCTGAGTCGAACATTTCAGTGTCCAATTCACATGGAAGACGAGTCGAGAGAGATTTGTGCGCACAAGAAATTGCAAGGCGATACTCGAGGTTCTTATCCCTCGAGGGATAATATTTATCAGAAATTTAAATACATATTTTTTTCCAATCGTGATATTTCTTCATTACCAAATTATTAAGTTACCGGATTTTATTTTATATTTACACTCCCCCCAGACATTTCAGGAAAATTACAATAAAAATTAGGTAATAATAACTCCAGAAAATAAAAACCGGAGGTATCGGATCAGGATGTCAAAAAATTTTTGGATTTTGGGGGAAAATGTGATAATAATTTTTAGACGAGTTACACTCAATCGCGTTGAATTGAAAATAAATTGGGGGTGTTTGAAGATTCTTTGAAGATTCTTTGAAGATCCTTCAGCCATTCAGTTTTACAAGCGTTTGATCTCTTGGTTATGCCTTCAGACAAATACCGATGCGAAAGTTCTGCGTACAGAATGAATAATGAATGATTGAGGTGCACACGCCTCTGAAAGTTTTCGGAGAAAACGCGCGAGGGGCGGAATGATTTTTACGTGCAGAAAGATAAAAGCCGAGATGAATATCACCTATGAGATCATTGACTTGAAAGAAAATCCATTTTCTACATGTTTTCTCTAAAAAACGCGTCAAACTGTAGACAAGAGTTGAAGGCAAACAAGTTGACTCATTCTCATGTTCGATTTTCGGGGAATTTCTCGGATTCTAACGCAGATAGCTAAATTTTCATTAATATCTTTCCCGTAGGATATAATAAGCGCTACAAAAAAGGTGATTATAAAAAATTCGCTATCTCTCTTAGATCTGGAGATATTCCTCGAAAACTTGGTCATTTGCTGGGGTGACCTGTTACTCTTCACCTCTGGATCTGATTTTTTTTCCTTTTTACTAACAAAATTATCGAAAATTATGTTTTGTCTGTTGGAATCTTTGTGAATGCACTTCATGCCTCACGATTGCGTCTGAGAAGATATCTTTTACGCTCGTTTCATGGCTATTTGATTTGTTTTTTCTCTACGCATGACGTGGGTTCTATTCCAGGAGGAAAACAGTTCTCGCTGGTTTTTATCACCGGGGATATAAAACAAACGAGTTCATTCTCATCGCCTGTATGAGTGGCCATTGGGGAAACGGCAATGTGGGAATCATACTCCCCAGGATGATCATGTTCTTTCCTGCGGGAATGCCAAGAGAGATAATGAATGTTTAACAACTTATCGCAATTTGGAAATTGCATTTCTGTGGGGACAAAAAAAAATGATTACTCCCAAGAAAAATCCTGGGACTCAAATGTCAGGATTTTCTACTAAATTCTTTGAGTCTTCACTACCAAAAAATCTTGAGATTCAGCAAAAAAATTGGAGAAAAAAAATCTCCAAATTCCCAAATCAAAAGCAATAAAGTATTCAATTGAAGAGGAGAAATCCTCACTATTTTTAATAATCAATTTAATACGTGAGCTTGAATTCCCAACGAACTGAGACATCACAAAACTAATACCTGGAATTCCATTAATAAATTTGCAGAATAATTTTCTATTGCATATCTCATTGTTTATTCACCTCGAATGGAATAATCGACTGCAATAAACTCCTCGTAACTTTACGGGTACCTACGATTTGTTACAAAAACATTTAGCAATTGTCAACGAACAATGGAAAAATCCGGGGAAGTCAGCGATCGTAGTGGAAAATAAGAAAAATCAGAGGGAAACAAATAATGGCAGTGATAGTACCTGAGATTCTCATTTTGAAAACATTTGAAGAAGATACCAACGCATAAACTCAAAGACTGCGGGAAATAGCATAAGTACGGGGTATTTTACGCATCTCAGCACGTACTCGTGATGAGGCCCCATCAGGCCCATGTGGATCCTACCTTCTGGGTGTCGTATTAACCGTCCAACCGATTATGGTCTGACAGACGTACATGTATGCAGTTATC